TTCTCCCTTGTATATTCTTGCCTCCTTTGTCTTAGATTAGGTGACGATAAGTGCATGGGTTTATCTCTGGGCTTTCTATCCTGTTCCATTGATCTATATTTCTGTTTTTGTGCCAGTACCGTACTGTCTTGATGACTGTAGCTTTGTAGTATAGTCTGAAGTCAGGGAGCCTGATTCCTCCAGCTCCATTCTTTTTTCTCAAGATTGCTTTGGCTATTCAGGGTCTTCTGTGTTTCCATACAAATTGTAAAATTTTTTGTTCTAGCTCTGTAAAAAATGCCATTGGTAATTGGATAGGGATTGCATTGAAGTTGTAGATTGCTTTGGGTAGTATAGTCATTTTCACAATATTGATTCTTCCAATCCAGGAGCATGGTATATCTCTCCATCTGTTTGTGTCATCTTTGATTTCTTTCATCAGTATCTTATAGTTTTCTGAGTACAGGTCTTTTGCCTCCTTAGGTAGTTTATTCCTAGGTATTTTATTCTTTTTGATGCAATGGTGAATGGGATCATTTCCTTAATCTCTCTTTCTGATCTTTCGTTGTTAGTGTATAGGAATGCAAGAGATTTCTGTGTATTAATTTTGTGTCCTGCAACTTTACCAAATTCTTTGATGAGCTCTAGTAGTTTTCTGGTGGCATCTTTAGGATTTTCTATGTAGAGCCTCATGTCATCTGCACACAGTGACAGTTGTACATCTTCTGTTCCAATTTGGGTTCCCTTTATTCCTTTTTCTTCTCTAATTGCCATGGCTAGGACTTCCAAAACTATGTTAAATAGAAGTTGAGCCATGTATCTTTAAATTACTTATATAAATTCCTCCTACTCATTAATAATGAAACATCTTCTTAAAATACATTCAGCATGACCTTCTGAGCCACCAGCATGGAAAGCTTTTTTCAGGTCCTCATCAGCACAGCTGAACTTCCCATCTTAAGCTACTGCACTTTGTATTAGTTACCTACTGCTGTGTAACAAACAGCCCCCAAGCTTGGCAGCCTAAAGTGACACACATTTGTTATCTCACTGTCTCAATGGGTCAGGAACCCAGGCACAGCTTAGCTGGCTCCTCTCCTTGGATCAAGGTACCAGCCTGGATGGTGGTCTCATCCACTGGTTCAGCAGAGGCAAGCTCTGTTTCCAGGCTCAGTAAGATCCCTGTGGGCAGGGTTCAGTTCCTGCCCACAAGGCTGGTGGCGTGAGAGTCTCATGTTCTTGCTGGTTCTTGGCTGGAGGCCTTCCTCAGTTCCTCGTCATGGGGGGCTCTCCAGTGTGGCAACTCAGCTAATCAAAATCCAGCAAGAAGTAGAGTCTGCTGGAAAGAAAGAGGTCATAGTCGTTTGCAGCCTCATCACAGAAGTGATGCCACATCACTGTTTTCATCTTCTGTTAGTCAGAACCAAGTTGCAAAGTCCAGCCACACTCATGGGGAGGGGATTATGCAAGATGTGAGTACCAGGAGGGGTGTCATCGGGCCATCTTTTAGTTGGCCTCCCACATCTTCAGTTAAAGCTGTGTGACTGTACTTATTAGAGTCTACGCAACATTATAATAATGCTGCTGATAACTGCAGCTAACAAGTACTGGCACCTATGAGTCCCTTACTGAATCATAGTGCTAAGTATATCGTGTTATCCTCACAATAATCCCCATTTTACAGAAGAAAATGATGACAAAGAGGCTAAGTAAATGTCCTGCGGTTTCACCACTATGAAGCAGGGGAACCAGGATTGAAACTCATCTGCAGAAGCCACATCTGTCACTTATTTTAGTGGGTTCTGTACTCATGGAATACCTCATTTGGCCACTTGGAGCCTTGCAGGATGATTCTGTGTCTCATTCAACCATGAAACCATCACAAGACCATCATGGTGTCTTTTAGCCAATTTTTACGTCATAAGCATTTGTGGAAACGGATTTGGTCGAATTGTCAGTGAGTGGCTTTTAGCTGCAAAGGTATCGAAAGACAAAAATACTCCTAACACGTTACATTTGTCTAGTACTTTATCATTTTGCATATTTCTTTTTCTTTTTCTTAGAAGGAGGGAAAGGGGATATTCTTTTTTTTCCAGCTCAGTTGAGGTATAATTGACAAATAAAATTGCGTATATTTAACTATGGTGATTTGATATACATATACGTTATGAAGTGATTACCACTGTCAGGTTAGTGAACACATTGGTCACCTCACACAGTTAAGACTTTTTTTTATCGATAGAGTGCTTAAGATCTACTGTTTAAGCAGATTTCAAGTGTACACTACAGTGTTATTAATTATAGTTAACCTTGCTGCACATTACTTCCCAGAACTTATGCATGTTATAACTGGAAGCTATACCCTTTGAGCAATATCTCCCCATTTCTTCTGTGCCACCGCCCCCCATCTGCCCGGGGCAACCACAGTTATACTCTCTGTTTCTATGAGTTCAACTTTCTTTTTTTAGATTCTGCATATGAGTGACATCATGAGGTATGTGTGCTTCTGTTTTTGGCTTATTTCCTTTAGGATAACATCCTCCAGGTTCATCCATATTGTCACAAGTGGCAGGATTTCTTTCTTTTCAAGGCTGAGTAACTTGCCATTATATCACATTGTCTTTATCCCTTCATTCGTGCGTGGACACTGAGGTTGTCTCTGTATGTTGACTATTGTGAGTAATGCTGCAACGAACACGGGGGTGCAGGGATCTTGATTTCATGGAGACCCTTTCTTTCCATCTTTTCATGGGAGGCGGGCTATGTGTCATCAGCTGAAAGTTCTCTGCACTGAAAAAAAAACCAAGCAGGCATTTAGTTGACTGCCCGACCACAGAGATGGCATCTTGGTGAAATGTGGATGAGTCATCCACGCAAGGAGGTGACCCAGGCCTCGTAGCGGCTGGTCTGAGCTGATATGAGACCCTTGACACTTCATTCTGCCCTCGTGCCTCTACTCCCCAACAAAGGCCACCAAAGAGAGCATGTGGGAGACAGAAATGAGAGAGTGAGCTCTACAAGAGCGCATTGAATGGTCACATTTCCCTGGTTCGTTATCTTTAGACAAAGGGCGCCGAGTTTGCCTTTGTGCAAAGATCCTTGAGAGACAGAGAGGTGAGAGGGGAGACTGAAAGTAGGTCAAGAGAGAAAGGTGTGGCTCCAAGTTATCCACGCACTGGGAGTGAGGATCCTTTGATCTGGACTCAGAAAGGCAACTGGCAAGATGACTGTTTGGAGAGCAGAACATCTGATGAAAAGGCGTGGTGGGGAGAGATGTTCCACGTGGACCAGAGACAGATAAGTCACAGGTGAGGCAAGACGAGAAGGAATGCTCGGAGCCTAAGGTCCTCTTTGAAGAGCCTCTGAGCTTGTTGCCCACATGCCCAGGAATGCAAGGGTTTCTGTGACAGACGGGGACACGTGATGGCTGAGGAACGTGATCTGTTAGCATTGAAGATGTACTCGTGGGTGCAAAGGAGAAAGTCAGTGGCTCAGATGGGCTGGAGCTTCCGAATCCCTCCACAGAAGTCAAGCTGCCGCCTATGACAGCAAAGGGGGTGAGTCGTCACTGTGTACATACAGGAGCGAAGGTTTCACGGATGATTCTACAGATGATGAAGAGGGTGATGGGCCGGCGGTGACTCGGTGGTTCTGCACTGGGGGTGACATTATGCCCCAGGGGCATGAGGCAGCGTCGGGAGACTTTGGTGTCACAAGTCAGGGTGGGAGGGTGCGCTGCAGGCATCTAGTGAGTGGGTCCATGTGTCCTGGCACAGCACAGCTCCCATGACGGAGAATCGTCCTGTTCTAAGTGGGCTCCAGGGATGAGGGCCTGCACATCTTTGGGGGCTGAGCTGTCTTTCCACATCCCACTCTAGGTGAGGATCCGTGTTACGGAGAGCAAGGAGGTGCAGTGAAAGAAGAGGACCACGTGAGGGTGGCTGGGTTGGCGTCCAGGTGTCCTCTGGAAGCAACACCCGTGTTGTTTGCTCCGACGAAACTCTCATGGGATTTCTGCTGCATGTGGCCATCATGCCTCCTGTGGAACCCCACAGCTCCCCTGGGGTTTGCATGCCCCAGGCCCCTTCCCGCCCCCGATGAGTTTGATGCTGCAGGTTCTGCTATGGTTTCCTCGTTTCCCTAAGTCCTGAGTTCTCTCGAGGTGAGCGATAGCTCAGGTGTGTGCATCCCTCGGTCTGGCCCCTTGTTCTGGCCCCGCGGACGTTGAACCCCACCCAAGGGGATAGGCCTGAGGATGCTTCTGCCCCCAGCTGCCCAGATGCAGGCAGGTTCTGTCCCTCTCCTGAGTGTTCACTTGGCGGTTCCTACGGGCGTCGGAGCGGGAATTTCAGGTGTGCATCCACCCCCAAAGTCCTCCTGTCCGTTGTTCTTGAAAGGGGTGAAATGCCGGGGCCGGGGGGTGAGTGTGCGTTGGGATGACAGCCATAGAAGGTGGATGGATTTCCGCCCCCCTCCACTGCGTTTGCTGCCACCTACTAGCACCCAGAGCCTCCCCAGCCTGTGAACCTTGTCTTCCTTGAGCTTGGAAAGGTTTGCATCACGCCCAAGTCTACGTGTTTCCCTTTGAAAAGCCACTACGCCGAAACTCGTGGCTAGTTTTAGAAAGGATTTGACATTGACAATTGGATTATCCTGAAATGCCCGGTTTTTGTTCAGTGCAGAGAACTTTCAGCTGATGACACAGAGCCCGCCTTCCATAAAGAGATGATCGTGTTTTCATTTTTCTAGACAGAGCCTATATTTTGGTTTGGGGTAGAAAGGAGAGGTCACTGCTATCCAGGGAGAAAGAAGTGTTTGTTTTGGAAAGAGACACGCAGGACAGAGAGGATACAGTTCTTCGCTGCGTGATGTCTTAGATGCTTTGCAGCCCATGTCGTTGGGGGTGGCCGGGTCGACAGAACGTCCTCTAGTGGGAGGAGGGGGAGGGTCGCAGTGAGGGGAGTGGGCCGCCTCAGGCCAGCATCCTTCATGTCTCTCTTCCCCTCGCCCTTTGCAGGAAGATGAGGACGCTTTTGCTTCTGCTGCTGTTCATCTATGAGGCCCGGAGCCATGCGGTGTCAACGCCCAACTTCGTCCTACTGATGGCCGACGACCTTGGCATTGGGGATCCTGGCTGCTATGGAAACAAGACCCTCAGGTTGGGTGACGTGTAAACACAGGGCTCCCTTCACAGGCTGCCGTACTGGGATGGGCAGCGCACATTCAGAGAGCGCAGGCCACGGGGAAACGTTCAGAGCCCCCCGATGGCACACTTTCCTGTACGACTTTACGTAGACACACACAGGTATTAGCAGGCAGATATGATGACTTATCTATTCGAATCACTGTTGGATGAACTCAGACAGCTCACTGGGAACGTATTCATCATAATTCTTTCTTCCTCGCCCCTAGTCTGTGGCTTTTTTCCCATCATCATATTTCCCTCCCTTTGGTTCGCCTCTTCTGTTTTGTCTTCTGTTTTCGGCCTCTGGCTCCGTTCCCACTGGGACCCAATCCATCCCCCCTTGTCAACCCCTCGCTGTCACCTCTGTACCTTCCTTCCCCCTCTGAGCCAGGCTGTGCTGGATTCTCAGGCAGACACACCGGCCGGGGACAGATGTCCTGGGGACACGTGTCACGTTTGAGGATGTCCGAACTTTTCAAGGGCTAGGGGTGACTACAGTGGTAGGGAAAACACAGTGGGAACCAGACTCGGACAGAGGAGGGTGTTTTGTTCCCCAGCTCCCCGGTGTAGGGCTCTTGGGTTTAGAATTAGTCGGTCAGGGTGCCGTGGAATATTGGCCTTAGGGATGCACTTTCTCTATATGATCACGGGGAAATGTTGACATAACTGTGGTTCTGTGGAGAGCTTATCTCACACGTGATCAGCGCAAACAAAATGAAAGGAGAGGGTGGGATTCACCAGAATTTTCTCGTAAGAGCTACAGATAATTACCTGAAACTCAGAGGGACGTGCTGCTGAGTGCCACGGGGTCTGATTTGTGTTCACAGCACTCGCCGTAGGTCCTCCTCTTCTGTACAACATGACTGTGTGTCTCAGGACACCTGTTTCATCGTTATGTGGCACAGCAAACAAAAATGAAGTAAATTACCCTTTTGAGGAGGACCCGGCCTGCAAGATGCAGCCAAATGTGACATCACTTCCAACCTGATTCTGTGTGTCAAATGTCACGTGTTATTTTTAAAATGTATGCTGACCTATGATGTTTGTTAGATTTTGTTTAAAGCACGTGCAAGGATTAGATCTGCACTCAGTGTTCTCTTAAAATTTTAATTGACCACGTATGTTTCCTTCCCCACCTTTTGCTTCATTTTGTGAAAAGTTTAGATCTCACTGTTAGGCATTTCAGACACGAACCTTGTTAGTAATTTAATTTTTCTTATCGAGGTCACAATTTTTTCTTTTTCATTTTAAGTATCATTTAAAAATACCATATGATATCAGTATTAGATATAATATTAGATATGATATTCCTAAACTTTAGTGAGATAAAAGATAACTGTTCCTACTAAGGTGTCTTAATTAAAAAAATCACAGTCAAGCCTTGAAGGTTCAGTGTCTGCCAATTATCCAAAAGAAAAAAAGGGCTGTAAAATCCTAAGTAAGGATTCATATCAATAATACCCTAAATCTGCCTTGTCCTCCATATTAGCATCCATTTCTTTTATTTATTTATTTTTTAATTGAAGTAACAATGTTATGTTAGTTTCAGGTGTACAGCACAGTGATTCAGTTTTCTATCAATATATATGTATATATTTATATATATATACTTATATGTATATATTTATACATACATTTATATACATAGATATTCTTTTTTTCCGATTCTTTTCCATTTTCCATTATAGTTTATTACAAGATAAAGAATATAGTTCCCTGTGCCCTACACTAAATCCTTGTTGTTTATCTGTTTTATATGTACTAGTCTATATCTGCTAATCCCAAACTCCCAATTTATCACTTCCTCCCCGGTTGTTTCTGAAGGACATTTTCCATTTTATGTTTTACAATATCACACCCCAAAATAGTCAAGTTTTTCAGTGGCCAATCTAGGCACTAGGGGGATGAAGTCAAATATACAGACAGCCTCAGTGTTCTCAGCATCTTGTAATTTAAGGCCAAAGCAAAGTGGAAATGTTGAGAAGTAAAGGCATAAGTGAAACTAATAGGTGAGAGAGCAGCTTGACATTACAGTGCAATGCCGTGATCTCCCCCTTCGAGCTATGCATTATTACAGGACTAGCCTGTGGGCGCTGGACCAGGGAAGCAGTGGCGTCACAACAGAACAAGATACGTGCCCCACGTCACAGGCAGAAGTCTTGGAGGGGAGTGCCGTTAACCACTCCATCCCTTTACAGGGAGGAAGCTGCCATGATGGGGGATAGGGACTGACCTCCTACAGATGGAACAGGCCTCTCCCACAGGACAAGGAGGCCATGGCAGGGTGGGGGGAGTCCCATCTATGCTCAGAACTGAAGTATAGAAGATGAGCAGCCTTGCAGAGAGGCAGGCGCTGGGGTTCCCACTGGAGGATAAGGGATCGTCACTCAGCGTGGACCCAGACCTGAAGGAACTTCCCCTCTGAATGCCTAGGAAGTCCGGCATGATTTCCTAAGGTGATGGACCACACCAGTCCTGGATAAAAGGTGGCAGGATGGCTTGTCCTGCATAAGGCGTCATCCTAGAAGTCAGCGCATAAATGACTGTTTCTTTAGCGGGAAAAAAAAAAAAAAGCCACTCAGAGGGTGTGCGTGTCTCACGGCATGTCGTGTTTCCACGTTGCTGTGTCCCTTTTCCCTGGAGTCTGTGACCCCTTTGTTACTGATCCCTGGTAAATGCACCTGGAGCCCATCGTTCCTTTCCCCGGACGGTGCCGTCACCCCGTTCGTTCTCTTTGGGGCCATGTGGAAATTCAGCAGAGCCTGGTGAGAACTGGTTAGGAGCTTCTCTTTGGCTGTTTTTGGGAAGAGAAGGGTCAGGCTGTTCCCAGAGCTTTCTCGTTTGGGGCACGGAGGTAACTAGTGGGGGGCACAGGTGACGGAGGACGGAGACCTTGCCCCTTGCCCCTCCCACTTCTCACAGCAGCCCCTTGTCAGGACTTGGCTTCTCTCCTAAATCAGCAGCTCAGAGCCCCCAGGGGGGCATGGGTGGGCCCCTGGAGAGGGCAGACCTGGATGATTTCTTCCTCAGTGTGGTTCTGTTGTCACTCTGAGTCTCGGTGCTGTGTCCCCTTCCTTCCCCCTGTCCCATCGCAGTTTCCCTGGATAAGTGACAAGCGACTCACTGTACAAAGCCAGAGAGAAAGCTTTCTTTTCAGGGTCGCGAGGAATAAGCTGAGTCTTTGTTCCAGGACTCCCAATATCGACCGCTTGGCCAGAGGGGGAGTGAAGCTCACGCAGCACCTGGCGGCATCACCCCTGTGTACACCCAGCAGGGCGGCCTTCATGACGGGCCGGTATCCCATCCGCTCAGGTACCCAACCTCCTCGTTCCGTCGCTGCCGTCCTGCTCCACCTCCCAGTCCTGAGGCTCCCCCTGTCCTAATGGTGGGTTTCTCCTGGCTTAGGAATGGCGTCTCGGTCCCAAGTGGGAGTTTTCGTCTTCTCGGCCTCTTCCGGAGGACTTCCCCACAGTGAGATTACGTTCGCCAAGCTGCTGAAGAATCGAGGCTATTCCACAGCTCTGATAGGTATGGGCAGCTGGTGGGGGGCGGGGCGAGGACCTGGGTGAGTGGGAAAGTGGGGAGGGCATGAGAGCAGCCTTCTTGAAGATGAGCTGACTGATAACGTTTGCACAACTGTAAATAGGGGAGAAATTATTTCAATGCTAAATTCAAACACCATGCGTCTATATGTGCTATTTGAATGTGTAGATGTGTGTCCTTATTTATGTATGTATGTGTATGTGTGTGGATGGATGGATGGATGGATGGACGGTGGATGAGTGGTGGATGGATAAATGGTGGATGGATGGATGGATGGATGGGTGGATGGATGGATGGTGGATGGATGGATGATGGATGGATGCATGGATGGTGGATGGTTGCACGGATGATGGATGGACATATGGATGGATGGATGGGTGGTGGATGGATGATGGGTGGTGGCTGGATGATGGATGGTGGGTGGATGATGGCTGGTGAATGGCTGGTGAATGAGTGGATGGTGGATGGATGAGATAGAAAGATGAGACATGGTAGAAAACAGAGAAATGGATAACTAATCATGCACACACGCAGCATGGAAAACTACACACACACACACACACACACACACACACACACACCATACTATTGATAAACGTTTTCATTTTACGTTCCAGTACTAAAATCGCGTCTGAATTTTTCTCAGTTGACGTTCCCACTGACTTTATCCCCTGGATAGGAACGAATCCTCCTCCCCTTTCACTTGATAAACTTGGGTCTATGCAGGTCATCAGAGGAACCCTAGAACATCTCATGGGAGCAAAATGACAGGTCTCTTTCCTCCCACATTTTGTCAAACCACCATCACTTTTTCTCTTGTGTGAGGCACTCCCTAATTTAGTGAGACAGTCACATTTCTATTTTTTTTTTTTTTTTTTTTTTTTTTTTGCAGTATGTGGACCTCTCACTGCTGTGACCTCTCCCGTCGCGGAGCACAGGCTCCGGATGCGCAGGCTCAGCGGCCACGGCTCATGGGCCCAGCCGCTTGGCGGCATGTGGGATCTTCCCGGACCGGGGCACGAACCCGTGTCCCCCGCATTGGCAGGCAGACTCTCAACCACTGCGCCACCAGGAAGCCCTCATTTTTATTCTGTTTTATTATTTGACCACACTGCGTGGCATGTGGGATCTTAGTTCCCCGACCAGGGCTTGAACCCGTGTCCCCTGCAAGTGGGAGCACAGAGTCTTAACCACTGGACCTCCAGGAAAGTCCCGTACAGTTCACATTTTATAAGAAATGTTTATAGGTGTTTTCAATAATTACTGAGTGTTGAGTATGATTTCCTCATGCCTCAGGGGTAGTTTTTACATATGGATTCATTTCCACTTCTAACATTTCAGGGAGAAAATCAAGTTGGTTTTAAGACTTTCCTTTTAAGGAAATGTCTCTAAGAAAATCACATGTCCCCCAAAAACATTGGTGTTCATCTGTGTAGTTTTGTCTCCTGCCTATGAAGTATGTGAGGTGTGTGTCTTTCATTTTATTTGTATTTTTTCCAATCACTGAATCCCCTCTTGTTTTCTGGTAGAGAGAGTGGTTCCTACCCTACCGTTTTTGGAAACGGAGGTGGAAACGGTAGAATGGTTTTGGCTGATGAATATGCAGAAAGAGGCCACTTTCCAGCATGCGCGACTCAGAAGCTGACCTTCATGTCGGGGTGCTCATGGGGACTAAACATGCCGCCTGTTTGTTTGTCTGCTCAGGAAAGTGGCACCTTGGCACCAGCTGTCACAACAGAACGGACCTCTGTCACCACCCCTTGAGCCATGGCTTCGACTATTTCCACGGGCTGCCCGTGACCAACCTGCGGGACTGCAAGCCGGGAGAAGGCAGCGTGTTCAGCAGGGCATCACCACGGTCTTTACTCTTCAGGTGTGTGATTAAGAGAGGAAAGGTCATGTGTATTGTTTACTGTAGATGTTATACGATATAAACAGCGTGAGGAGATCCACAATATTCTGGGCACGTCTCCGAGCAGAGCAACTCTGTGAGTCAGCTGGGTGAAGCAGATTATCTCTTGTGAGTCTCTTGGGGCCTCTTGAGTTTGTAGTCTTGGTGTTTGCAGTCAGCAAACGGGGTAGCCATCCACGGAGGGCTTGACAGCAGTCTGTCTCAGGAACACTTGCTATTGAAAACGAACAAAATTGTTTTGTTGCCTTTGAAAGTTTAGAGGATAGTCCTATAGAGAAAGGTGGGGACTCGGTGTGAAAATCAGATGTTTGGCCTTGGTGGTTACTTGCCCTGCCCATGAGAGCAGGTCTGTTCAGGCACCAGAGAGTGGAGGAAGCTGGCAACACGGCGTGATGAAGGACATATTGAGAATTCGAATCTTAAGAGAAAGGGGAAGATAGATGTTCATCTGGCCAGCACGCTGGTGAACATCTGTGTCCGTGATTTTGAACCTGGAGATACTGCTGAGCTATCAGTGCTCACGGTCAGCCTACCCGTCGGCCCGCACAGCCAGAGGCGGGCATCACTTGAACGCACACCCGCATTGTGGGCGTGGCGCTTGGTGCAGATCTGTCCCTTGTGCGATTGCCTTTGATAGCTCAGTACGTGGTGGCGTAGAAAATTGGATCGTTGGAACTTCCCACAGGTAGACCAAGAAGGGAAGAGGGGAAAAGCTCTTGACCGTAGGTGGAGAACTGTGAGTCCTCAGACTTTGTGTAGGCGGGTGCTGGGGTCCTGGCTGAACCTGAAGATTGCCAGTCTTACCTTGAGAAATTCCTGCGGAGAGTAGTTCTAAGGTAAGGCTTTGCCTCTCCCTGTTAACAAGGTCCCCTAGAGTTCTAAACTCCTGTAGAACACTCTGAGAAATACTAGAGCATCTGTGGGTTTTTGCTGTTGGAGAACGGCACCATCACTAAGCTGCCTAGATTTTTCTAGAAGGCGGTGCTAACATGATGTAATGCAGAAGCGTTTGAACTTCCTAAGACATACATTTTACACCATCATCCAATGAGATGTTATACACAGATGTTTAACTGAAGCAAAAGTTTCCAGAAAGGATTTATTTCTTCATAGAGTGATCACTTCTGATACCTCCTGATTCCCTTCTGTTTTATTTTTTAAAAAATTATCTGGATGTGACACAACATTAATGTCATGACTCAACAGTGGGTCTCAGTCTGCATGGTAGACAAAGCTTTCACCTCATGGGTGAGCCTTACAGTATTTTACAAGTAAGAGAATGGCCATTCCGAGGTACAGTGGTGCTTTGTGGATGGCAGACCTACCCGTTTAAGCCAGAATACGACCGTCTGCTGTTTGGCAAACTTGCTGAAGCAGTGGAACCCTCTCCTGTCCCTGTCCATTGACTAGCAATCCCTCAGAAACCTGTGGGAAGCGGGTGAATAATACAATGCTCCTTATAAAATCACAGGCTTCAGGAGTGATCCTCAACTTCCAGGATGAGGCATATCTTGACAGCATGTGGTATTTGGACACAGATGATTGAATCTGTAGGATATATGAATATTCATATGATTAGGAGGAATTTTAATGGGTTCCTTGGCATATGACTTTCGGACGGGATCGAAACAAATTTGATTAGCCTAAGGGTATTGAACCTCAACCAGTTCATCTTTGTTTAACTTTAATTTCATTTATTTTTTATTGAAGTATAGTTTATTTACAACATTGTGTTACTTTCAGGTGTACAGCACAGTGATTTTATTATATATACTATAGATATACTATATACATATATAAATTTTTTTTCAGATTCTTTTCCATTATAAGTTATCACAAAATATTGAGTAGAGTTCCCTGTGCTCTACATTAGGTCCTTGTTATTTGTTTTATGTATACTGGTGTGTGTCTGTTAATTGCAAACTCCTTATTTATGCCTCCTCCCCACCTTTCCCCTTTGGTAACCATAAGTCTTCTATGTCTGTGAGTCTATTTCTGTTTTGCAGATAAGTGCATTTGTATCACTTTTTTAGATTCCACATATAAGCGATATCATATGGTATTTGTCTTTCTCTGTCTGAGTTACTTCACTTAGTGTGATCATCTCTAGTTGCATCCATGTTGCTGCAAATAGCATTATTTCATTCTTTTTTATGGCTGACTAATATTCCGTTGTATATTTATACCACATCTTCTTTATCCATTCATCTATTGATGGACACTTAGGTTGCTTCCATGTCTTGGCTGCTGTAAATAGTGCTGCAGTGAACACTGGGGTGCATGTTTCTTTTCAAATTAGAGGTTTCATTTTTTCTGGATATATGCCCAGGAGTGTGATTGCTGGGTCATATGGTAACTCTGTTTTTAGCTTTTTAAGGAACCTGCATACTGTTTTCCATAGTGGCTGCATCAACTTGCACTACTGCCAACAGTGCAGGAGGGTTCCCTCTTCTTCGCACCCTCTCCAGCATTTATTGTTTGTAGATTTTTTGATGACGGCCATTCTGACCAGTGTGAGGTGACACCTCATTGTAGTTTTGATTTGCATTTCTCCAATACTTAGCGGTCCAACCAGTTTATCTGGATTATAATGGGGTTTCTGCAGTTTTCTTCCAGAACTAGATATTTAGGATGCTCTAGCAACACCATAGTGGGAGGTTATGCTTATTGAATTATTTGAAAAGGGTTTAGTCTTTAAATAGGTGATTGTAATGTAAACGACTATTGCCCACATTGGAACAATGCATAAATTGGTCAGTATTAGTGACAGTACTACCATGTGTGTACCATGATGTCGTTCACACCAAAAACTTCTCATATACATTATCTGAAGATTCAAAGATTTTAGACATCTAGGTAAAATCATCCTTGGGTAACATCGTCTTCCTGTGTTACAGGAGATATCTGATTTGCTGAATTGTTATTTTCAGGAATCTAGAGAGAATTGCCTTAATATGGTACCAAAGAATCATAACAGACGTGACACTGTCATATTTACAAAACTTTTTTTTCAGGGATCTGACGACATTTAAATGTGTATCTCTTTGGGCTTCCCTGGTGGCGCAGTGCTTGAGAGTCCGCCTGCCGATGCAGGAGACGCGGGTTCGTGCCCCGTTTCGGGAAGATCCCACATGCCGCGGAGCGGCTGGGCCCGTGAGCCATGGCCGCTGGGCCTGCGCGTCCGGAGCCTGTGCTCCGCAAATGGGAGAGGCCACGACAGTGAGAGGCCCGCATAACGCAAGAAAAAAAAAAAAAAAAGAAAAGAAAAATGTGTATCTCTTTGACCAGAATAGCCTGAGTACTTTAGGCAGGCCTTACCAGCTCTGTGAGACATGGACTCAGGGCTGCTCAGAAGCAGAAGGAGGAAAACCTCATCCAAGCAATAATGGTGTTTGTGAAGTTGATTCAAATGCTCTTGAATCAAAATTTTCCGATTGAAACCAGTGCTTTATTTCAGTGTATTGATCTAAAAACCAGTTGTGGGGTACACAGCTCTTCCTGGGTTCATTTGTCAAAGGTGATGAGGAAAATGATTTAAGCTCGCATTTCTAAAATTTATATTCTCTCTCTGAGCCTTGTGGATGAAATGACTTATACTCAGACGTTTGTTCTCGAGATACTAACTTGTGATGTGAAGATACAGCTGACAAGGGCATAAGGGGATGATGCCTTACTGGTGTGTGACTGTCTCAGGTGAGGTCTGCTGAA